ACTAATCCAAAGGCTACTGGCATAGCCTCCGCAGACGCATTCATTACCACTAAACTTCAGCAAAACAATATCAGTGTCTGTTTGTAGTTTCTTTTATGATTTGAAATGCTAAAAAGTTAATATACTTCTCTGCTTCAGTTCACCAATTTTGATTAGCTAAAGATTAGCATACTCATAGAGGTGTTCAATTTAGGTATCGATTGCCGATTCAGCGATTGTGTCTTAGGTACAAAAGAATTAAAATCAAGAAAAAATGTTTCCTTTTTTCCATTAGCAGACCGACAATACAACGAAATATATATTAATTAGTGACAAATATATCTAGTTTGATTGAAAACAAATTGATGCGATTTTAATTACTGTAAGATTTCTCAAGCTTATTTTATAATCCCTTCGTTTGTTTTCAAAATGACAGTACTGCAAAGATTGATGAATTCTTTCAGTTGAATAAGATTTAGAGTATTCAATTGTAATTTACACTTAAGGTTAAGGAATTCATCTAACCTCTTAATAAAGTGTGTGTAGAAAGTCTTCTGTTAGGAAATTTAAAGGACGAATAATCGCCTAATGTACAAATCAGTGTGTCTCAACATGTATTTAAATGGTTACAAGAACAAATTGAGTCAAATGACCCAATAAAGATAAACGATAAATGGCTATTGTCTTCTGTCCCTAAACTCTTAGTTGCAACAACTCAAAAGTGTTTGGGACATTAGATCCCCGGCATGGGCTGGTTAGTTGACCTTGAGATTACACTTCCCACCAGGAAAACCCTTGACTGTTATTGGTTGATGTATTATTTTAGTACGCTACTTTTGTGTCTCTCCCAAGGACGTTTCTGTCATGTATAAATAAACACGATTTGTGTGCTTGTCAACCTCGAATTTCCCAGATGCTTTTAGAAAACACTTTCTATGTCTTGTCAAGACTTCTTCCTCTACTTAGTGTGGCTTTAGGACGCTCGGATTAGAGTAGCCTATCACCATGTCACTGGATCATTTTGTCTTCGCTCTCGTTTACCGACTAAGGTGAACTCGTCATAATTTCGAGCATATCATTTGACGAGCTTATCAATAAAATTTAATCTTAACTCGGCTTTTGTGGTTTGTATACATTGAAAAATAGTTTACTCTCACAATAAACCTACTAGTTTTATTATCCAACGTTTCATATTATTCTATTTATTATTATAGTTTGTTTTTTTTCTATCTGTCTAGTTGACCTGTTATGTTTTTTATATATGTAAATGTTCTTAACAAATATGCATATGATCAGATTTTTAGAAATATATTGCACCATTATATCACAGTGTTATGATAATCTTTGTCTTGTTATTACACTATCCAAATATATCGAAGGAGAGAGTGGTACATATTGGGACTACGTCACGTCTTGAGCCTTATAACTAAATTGAGAAAATGTTTGAAAATGCTCATTTCGAGCTACTAATGTTCTCCTGTAGATCAGTAGCTTAAATGGTCCGGCCATTTTGTTTTGAATTTTTCGGGTTACATATTCAGGTGGCCAATGTATTAACTTCATTTTGGTTAACTACAAAGTAATATTGGGAGTGAAATAAACAATGGCTTGAAACGTAGTCCCTAAACTTTCAGTTTGTTACTGAATAACATCTATAAATAGTGTCCGACATTACTTTTAATATGTTGTCGAAACAGAACTTATACTTCATAATCATTTTGATTTCAGTCACGCAAATCGCGATCGAAATTAAAATGACTGACTAATATATTATTATCAGTCAACCTAAAACTTATACGCCACACAAATAATTGAGTTCCTGTGTGGTCGGGAATACTTCAGGGCTTCCAAACCGTAGCAGATAGTTTTCTGGGAGGGATTACACTTCGAGCCTCTGACCCTGAAGTCTAATCCACAAGGCAGTAGAGCGACGTTAATAGAAGCCGCTTAATGGCAGCCGGTGATCAGCAAAAGTTTCATACTCCATTTATTCCTTCAGGCGGTTACAGAGCATCCACCTAGGGGAGTTGAAAAACCCTGATTTCAAAACAATTGGTGCACATCGACTCCAGGATCCCAATGGGATAATTAGTGTATGAACCTAATGTTGGTCACCGGCTACCATCTCTCTACTGCCTTGTGGATTAGACCTAAGGGTCAAAAGTTCGGGGTTGCCCCCTAAGAAAACCATGTACTTCGGTTTAGAAGCCTAGGAAGTGTTATAGACCACACACGAATTATTTGTGCGGCATATAAATATTTAGATGTCCATTTGTACTTATAATTATGTATTTAAATAACTACATGTTTCCTTAGGATCCTGCAGCCTATGTGCAGCATCAGTTCGGAATCGGGGTTTTCCAACTCATATAGGTAGATTTTTCGTACCCATTAACCCCGTTTAAGCACCGGACATTCGCTTTACGTACACTCAGCTTCAAATAAAAAACACTCCCAACTACAAGAAGCCAGTAGGTAGAACTTTCATGGTTGTTGTTTTATGTGTGGCCATGTGAGAACATTTTGATGGCAATAAATTCTTCCTACTGTCGGCCGTACCAGAGCATTTTCGGGCGTTATTTATCAACATGGAGATTGTATTGATCTTAGAAAGGCTTTTACTCTTGTATCAACATTAGAAAACTAATGCTGCGATTGGTCTGTTGCAAATTGTCCGCTTCGTAATCTAAATTGAGTATTAATTCTATCGAAGCGTCCAACTACACTCATGAATTATATGTAAAACTGAAACTTATAAGACAACAATTTTTCCAAAGAACGATTCTATTATCAGTGAATATACATAGATTCACAGCGATTAACGTGTCTGTAAACAGAAAAGCTACACTAATATTAACGAAGATAGTAATTACAGCATACAATATCATAAATGACAGTCGGTAGTTGTGGCTAATATTAACAACAATTTGTCAACATCGAAAATGGGAACTAAGAGCATACGATTATAGGAGCTGTTACATTTAAACAAAGATTCAGGGAATGTAGAAAACCGAGAATAACTGTAATTTTAATGATATATGTTAGCAGTTTACATAAGTACTTATTGTTAGAAATATTACTGCTTACTAAATATTAACAAGTAGTATAAAGCGATACATAAAAACAATTCGGATTTGAAGCGAATAGAGTCAGATGTGAAAGAACTTCACAGTGAACAAAATGAATTTCCCTCAACTTATGTCCTTCACATAGTTTATATTAAACCGTAAATTCAATGGACTAAAAGTGTTTGTGAATAATGTTGGATTGCACATAGTTCCAAACGTGTGTTATTATTACTGGAGTGATTCCTAAGCTTTTGATATATATGATAAATAGTCCTATCAAGTACATATGTTGTCTGTTATATACTACTCAACTAACAGTCAAATTCATAATGTTCACTTTTTGTTTAGGTTGAATCTGGTCATGTTCAAACTGTATGTACAGCGTTATTGGCTTTAGGTCCAGAACGTTTACGTCTAAGTGAGTGGATTAGTGAGTCTATTGTCGAGCATTGGTTTATTTCATATCTAGGTAAGTTTACTTTGTTTTATTGTATCTAGTGTGTGTATTCTTCTCAAATTATTGTATTTTTGAAGTTAAAATTAATTTTACAAACTGGTCATTCATGAATTCTCACCTACTTTTGTTTTTGTAGTTAAAAAGTATCATTGACTGTCACAATGTGACCAAAAAAACAGGTTCATAAACGTCTACTATGTAACTAAGTCCCCTAATATAACAATAATTTATCAAAATTAAAATCGATTGCTCATAGAATCTAGAGATAGATGTCAGAAGATAGAATAGTTGTTATCTGTAATACTAAATATTCATTTAAGATTAAAAGTTATTTTCCGAGAACAAATAAATGAATCGGGGATAAAGAATAATATCATAAAGCTACCGCAATAGTACATCTTGATACGCTCATCAACTGATATGCTTGAAACTATTTCGAGTTCACATTAGTCGGTAAACGAGAGCGAAGACAAATAATGCAGTGACATGATAGGCTACTCTAATCTGAGCGTCACAAGGACCCACTAAGTAGAGGAAGAAGCCTTGACAAGACGTAGAAAGTCTATTCTACAGGCACCCAGAAAATATGAGGTTTTCAAGTACACAAATGGAATTTATGTATATGTCATAGAAACGTCCTTGTGATAGCCACAAAAGTAGGGTACTAAAACAACACACCAACCAATGGCAGTCAAGGATTTTCCGGGTGGGAAATGTAAACTCAAGGTCAACTGGTCATACCATGCCCGAAAACATAAAATCCAAAATGAGGACCTTTATCAAGTGAGTTCTGGGGATCTAACGAGCCCAACACATCTGCATTTTACCTAGTTTTAAGATGAAGACGAATTGTTTATTAATTCAGATATTATCGTTTGCTGATTATACATTTTCGTGGATGGTGATATTTATCCCACTCAAGTAAAACAATACTAAAGCTTGGATATGTATTTGAATAGGACTAAACGGAAATATTGAAAGGCAATGTCGTCTCAAAGCTGATTAATTTCTGTGCAAATTATAAATTAGCATTGGTCAGTCATACACTACGTAGAACCTGGGACATGTACATCAGTTCAATTCGCTATAGAAAAGGTTAGATATAAAAGAAGGAAAAAAGTACAGGGACGTTTCGAAACTCAGTATCAAAGAGGAAACAAAGGGTCACTGTGGCTACGCCACTGCAAGCGATTCCGTCACACAAAGTCTCTAATTATTGGTTAGCATAATCACACAGATCTACACCGAACTGAATTCAGCCGTCAGTGGTTTCATGAGCTGATACTACATCTGAAGCTGGCCCAGCTTCTTTCCTATCTACCTATTCTTACACCAACATTCACCCCCTTCAAAGTTGGTTGCGGTCTGGCGGTCGTTTTAATTGATGCCAAAGATATTTTATTTACTCTTCTAATTATTGTATAATTTAATTAAAAGCTAATGGATTATTCCTTCTAAAACTTAATAAGTTTCAAATTTCCTTTTTCATTACATAGAATTACTATCTCGTTTTCGATTATGGACTGTGTGTGCACGTATTATTAAACAATGTGGTAATCCTTATGCTGGTGCCGATAATCAAATGTATTTACGAGAACGTCTTAGAAGTATTAATTTCCATTATGTTTTTAGACCGGTTGTAATGAAACCACAAGGTAATCATCACATCATTTTCTTTTTTGGAATGTTAGATAAGAAAGTCTTATTCACTCTTCGATTAGACATTTGCTAAAAGTAGTTAGGTCATTGAATACTAACCTATTGACCTGTTTACATTGACTATGACAATATAATATAACGCATCAGTGTCTGTTAATTTTTCTTACAAAAGAAATATTTATCTGTTATTCGATAGTTCAACAGATAGCTTTTTTAAACAATTTCTGTTAGGTTCATTAGTTGGTAAGGTATACGAAAACATAATTATACTGTGATTACTGATCATTTCTAAGTAAAACTTCATTTTTATTTCTATAATGTTATACATCAGCAAGCACCTATCATATAGTGTTTGTACGATTGGAATTTACTTTCCCCTGATAATATTCGATCATAGGTCTTCTAAGTATCATCCATGTATGGTAAAACTACAATGATTGATCTTTAAGTTCTAGCGGGAATTCGTGACCAGTGAAGTTCAACCTGTTCGGGTGTAGACAGAAACTACCGAAGACAGTGTATGAGGCTGCACAACTTCGTGAATTGATCGAAGTTAGACATTAACACCGCTAATAACCGGTTCAGTGGTCCAGAGCTTAGGCGTTCGCTCGCAAGACCAAAGGTCCTGGGTTCGAATCCTGAGAGGTGCAGGAGTCGTGGATACGCACTGCTGATGAGTCCCATACCAGGAAGAAACGGCCGTCCGGTGCTTCCAGGTTTTTAATGGTGGTCTAACAATGATCGATTCATGATTTCAAATGTGTAACTTAATTTAAGGATAAATCGCTGGGTAGAATTAGCAAATCAATCTATCAGACTGTGGATATTCATC